TTTCATAATAGGATTTCCGATGAGAAATAAACGAGGGTTATCTTTGCCAGCTGGCACTGCTGAGTACCACAAATAGTGTCTATTGTACAGACAATTATACTGACAGGAGAAGAAATACACTTTATATAATAGAACTCTTTTATTCTACTTGAGCAAAGTAAATTTTTAACTGGCCGATTCTTTGAAATGCTCCATTGCATATTTTTTCTTGGAGCATGGTAATTAAGTGCAACATTAGATTGCAGTTGTGATTACGTGATCATCAAATAAATTTTTGATTCATAATAATCCCTTTCAGCACCAACAGAAAACCCAAAACGCGCTCCGGGAAATTGCCTACGAATTACTTACGACGGAACGAACCTATGTCGCAATTTTGACGTTGCTGGACCAAGTAGGTGGTTTGCGCTCTTTGTTCACCTAGACTAACGTTCCGGTTTGATGAGGCTGCGTCGCGAGATACAAGCCGTTTTATGACAAACAAAAATTTTATATCTAAAATGTAACACAATTTACAGAAACAGACGTTAATTCGAAACGTTCAAAGAGTACATTTATCCTTGAAATCTACTATAATTTCTATTAGAAAAGAAATTTACTCGTTCATTCTTGCATCTGTTTGTAGGTATTCCATTTTCGTGTCGATCAAGAGAATCGAGCAACACCGATGTTTTCGCAAGAGGTCATCACCCAAATGTTCTCCAATCTGAAGTCGCTTTACAAGCTCCACAATGATTTTGTCCTACCAAAACTCGAGGAACGCCTTCAGAATTGGTTTGTATAAATACTTTAATAAGATCATAGAGCAATGAACAATAAACTCAAATAGATTCAAGACCCTTTTGGCGTCTCAACCGGCGCTCATACCTAATTGTCTGTCTTAGGTCCTTCTTCTATCTTCAAACGACTGCCTTCATATGGCGCCGTTCTTTAAACTCTATTGTATTATTTTTCTATGGTACTTGGCCTAATGTTTTGTTGTCCAAACTGTGAGTCTCGTCTTTCGGCCTTCCGTTAATAACCAGGCCGCATGACCACGTAGCCTCCACCGCACACGTTTAGCCCGTAACCTAGGAAGACGTGAGCTGTGTACAGGTTCTCGGCCTATCGTTCGCGCTTCTGACGCTTATCAGAAGCCCGAACGGTGTCTGATTGGATCGCGCTCTGTGTATACCACAGCTCTCTTAGCGACCAAAGCCTCTCTTTAGAAGTAGGAGAAGTTCAATCAGCAAAGAACCTGCTATCACTCTTGTTCGCCATCTTGTGACTTCGATTTCAATTTTACCGCGCACGCGTTTGATTTCCCACCATCTAGGCAGGCAAAAGGGGCTTCGCAGTCCTACCGCCCCGCTTTTGGTAACGACTTCGTTCTTTGTGATTCCGCTCAAAATCAGCAGAAACCCTGCGGGCTGCTGATGTTGAGATTGAACTCAATTGTCACTAATGACAGTATATTTGCGGTGGTGAAAGGCCATTATATGAGAGGCTTTGCTTAGTGACGGCACCTTAAAATAACTCATTATAAACATCGTTGCAAGTTTTACTATTAACGGTCAATATTTACGGGGCGTAGAGCTGCAGTTCCGCAAGATTTAAGCTTTTCAAATACTACTCGGTGGACACATGTATTTATTCAATTTTTTTGAAATTTAATTCTGCACACATTGAAAATTTAAGGCCTGCAGGGCCATTATCACTAGAATAGTAATTGAATAAATGCCACCGACGTTCGATTCCTAACATATAGAAATAGTAGAGCAGACTTCAGTGGGAGGCCAATTATGGAACGTAGTAGCCACTTTGAGCTAGGCCAAGCAGTTCCTACTTTGTTTATGTTTTGTCTTCTTTCGCTCGCCAGACAAATCCGGCAAAGGATTTCTCTAGCAAAAATTAATATTTTTTCCACACCAAACGATAGGCTCTTGCGTAGTCCAATTTGCAACATCCAAAACAAATCAAACTTGGAACCAATAGGAAAAGGCTGATTATTTACTGGTAGTGTATGGTGTTTCAATAATTATAGTTAGTTAAATGCGCTCGATAATTTTCACACCTATGATATACATTCGTTACTTTCATTTATCCGGTACAGGGAACTAAGGCAAGGCATCGGAGATCTCATGCGCGAATTGGCGCCTTTCCTTAAAATGTACACAGAGTATGTCAAGAACTATGATACAGCCATGCACCTAATTGCTACGTGGTACCAGAAACAGCCTCGGTTCGCAGCCATCATGGATTATGTACATGTATGTCCTAGATCGTTATTTACCCTCACACGTTCGATGCTGATAGATGTCTCAATGAATCTATTCAATTTTCAATAAAAAAAAAGATCAGCCAAAATTTGAGGCAGGCACAAATGCTCACGGTGTTTTTTAAATCTGTCGTTTCTATTGTCGTCTTGTTTCGCTATCATCTCGTTGCCCCTGTAGAGTTTACCGGAGTGCGGTAAGTTGCAGGTATCACACCATATGCTCACACCGGTCCAACGTATTCCGCGCTACGAGCTGCTGCTCAAAGAGTACCTCAAAAAGCTGCCCGAAGACTCTCCCGATAGAGACAACACGCAAAGTAAGCTATTTCATTTCCCGGATTCGAAATTCGATGAAAGAATAGTTACTACTGATGTTGGTAGCATGATAATAATGTGTACATTTCGCATTTATGGCCGCTATAATCATAGGCGACAATGCGAAATATCTACAATGTAGCGACCTGAACATATCGATCTATAGTCTAAAGGGTATCTGGGTGGGCTCATTGATTAAATGTTGTTTCGTCAATATACCGTTTCTTTGCGGCAGAGGCTCTAGAACTGGTGTCAACAGCAGCTCAACATGCTAATGAGGCGATGAAAAAAATCCATAAGTTTAAGAAATTGTTAGAGATCCAAGATCTCGTTGGAGGGGTCATGGACCTGGTGAGCCCCTCTAGGGAGCTCTTGAAAGAGGGACGCGTAACGAAGATCTCCGCTCGTAGTGGGGATACACAGGAGCGACATCTGTTTGTCGTAAGTACTAGGCACTGTTACAGCACTTATCTATTTGTATGTATAGAGCAATCGATAACGTATCATGATCAGGTAGTAACGAAATAGAGGTCGGTGTCACATAAAGTGGAATAAAATTTCACTTAAAATTGTTGTCGGAAGTTAAGTACAGAGCCCTAGGTCATGTTCGATTATCAATTATACTTTTAGTAGTACAGGGCGGAGCAAAGATCTCTCAGCAGTTCGACAAGAAGCTATTTAATGACCTGACGTTTTTCATTGGACTTTTTCGTTATTATTTTTCTTTTTAATAATTTTTTAATCTCTTGCTAGGTTGGTAGGTGTAAGATGAAGATGCTCAAACGGTCAAGTGCCTCCTTCAAATTGACAAAAGACTTTTGCCTTACCCGGTTTTTAATAGGTCGGTTTCTTAGCGACGATGTACCTCTAATTAAAAAAAAAAAAGAATATGAATAGCTCGTAACAGTAAAATTACGCTGTATATTGGTGAAATGGTTAAGTTTATTTCGCAAAAATAGTCGTTTGTGTGTAAACTGTGGCGGCGTTTACAATATTATTCTCTATGAAATCAGTCACCTTAGAAAAACATAAGCTTTAAAACCCTGCGAATAAGTCTATTCTAAAGTTTATGGATTGTTCAAGACTTTAGAATGCAAAATATACGTACTAAGCACGTGAGATTCTCTGTCTCATAGACTCACTAAACAGTGATACTTCCTTCATAGATACTGTAAATACTGAGAGCTAGCCCGTAAATAATGCTATTACAACCTATACGTACGGTATTGTGTTCTACAAATGTGACTATTTTAATTAATCATATAATTCTTCTGGGTAGTTAGAAAAAAAACATGCCAGTTTCTATAAAGCTTTCATCCGTAACTATTCAAGGAAAGTAGATGTCTCATAGGTAGACGCCAGATATACAGAAAGAGGCAAACATCTATTAACAGGTTTTTATATGTTGCGTTTTTAAAAAAAGGACTCGAACAGTCAAGAGACGTTTGTCCTAATCAATATGAAGTAGGCGATAATATTTGATCTATTGGTTACATCTTGTACTTCATACTGGTAGCCTAATAACCTTTTACGTATGTATATGTCGTTCGTGGTCAACATACTAACACTAATGGGCTAGCTTTTCGACTCTTTCTGCTTTCATATATTGGCGACTGCCATGTTGTATCTGTTGTTGTATGTTCGTGCGTGGGGCTTATCGCTAACGATGGTCGTGGGACGCGGGTTTCAGTTCAACGACTTAGTACTGCTATGTAGTCAACGGCTGATTTCGCAGCGTGTGGGAGCTGGTCCCCCATTGCGGGTTCGTGCCCGACTTGACATGGACGGCTTAATCGTCGAAGAGGGTGATAATCTCGAAACGCCTAACACGTTTTACATTCGAAACACCGGACGCAGCATCGAACTGTGCACAACGTAAGTGTCATGTAAAAAAGCTGTTGTCTCGTAATGTTTCTCATATGTGTCTAATTAACACTTTTTCACATAATTAAATTAAATAATATCTTTATCTTAATGAAAGCCTGGCAAGTGTAAACGGGAATGAGTGGCACATGGAACAGGTAAGTGTGTAGCACATAGAAGCTGGGCAAAAAAAAACCTAACCTCACTCATAGCACTCGCAGGATCATGAAAACAGTGTAATAAATACTTTCTAACCGGTTATGAGAAATCATATTCGATTGATGTATACCGTATTGCCGTCTCTACAAATACCCAATTAGCTATTTCACTGTTGTCCACAGAGCAAGAACGTTTCTGTAAAAAGTAAATATTTTTTAGGTTGCCCAGCGCTAATCATCGTGTTTATGTGATTACGTCCTTTTTTCGACAGTAACTCGGGCGAAAAACTCGAATGGATGCAAGTTCTGGCTAAGGCGGTGCACGACCTGGCGCAGAAAAAAAGTTCCCTCAAGGTGCACAGAGATAATTCACCTAATGGAAATGGCTTATCCTTACAGGAGGGTGACTTATCACAACAACAGCTTTCAAATGATCAGTGTGACAGTATGAAGGTACTAACACCGTATCTAACCATGGCTAATAGAGCATAGTCTGAGAGCAAATAATACCGGCACAATGGACCAGCGCTCGTGCTTCCTTAGATTTAAATAAGCTAAACTCCACGGTAGGCGTGTCTATACTACTTGAATAACAGTCCCTGTTCAGAGTTGAATCCATATTGCTTCCATCTTACTGATGCCTGGTAATCGAGTTCAATAACGCTTCGAAACGCATTGTAGAGCCTGAGCTTCCTGTAGCTACGTAGCACCATCGTACAACTGCCTCGTGATAGGTACTTTGGCTAATATCATCTGTTAGGCTGTGATTTACTGTAAACACACGTTTGGTAGGGTGCGTGAATACTGAAGCCAGCTAACCCTGTTTTTTGGGGCTTATATAGTGCTATTTACTGACCATGTTAGTCAGCTAGTGTTATGCTAAAGAAAAATCCTTGTTTCTTCGATTAAACAACATATACATTCGTTAAAACTTACGATCCTTCCCTAGTTTTTTGACTTTTTTTTTATAGCATAAAAGACGACTGCTCTGGAAAGGGGCGCAATCTGAATTGACTGATAGTGTTTTTGAGTGGGCTCAACTTGAAAGACGTTTAGCACCCGAATGCTGTTGTGTCCCGAGTTGGCTTTCAGATAACCTTCGACGTGAACAAATCTTCGGAATTACCTCATTTTTCGGAAAAGCCACCGCCGCCAAAATATTGTTTCAAGGCTCTAGAAACTTATAGTACAGATTAAAAGATTTGCTCACTGTTAACTAAACATGAAGCTACTCATTAGTTCAAAAAGTTTTGAATTAAATGACCGCCTATATAATGAATAGTTTGAAAATAATTTAACTTATTCAACTACAAAAAACATTTCAGAGTCCCATGGCAAGCCTCGATCTTGGCCGGTCAGCTCCCCGACTAGTTCGAAGTGACCAGGTTAGTCATTGTATGAACTGTGCGACGCCATTTTCCACCTTCGGCCGATGGAAACACCATTGCCACGCCTGTGGAATTGTAAGTTAATCGAACATCTCAACGTATCAATTCACTCTAGCTAAGACACATTTAGATTATGTTTGAATGAGCCTCTTGAGCAAAGAGTGCCCTTTATTTTTCTACCACTTGAATATATATTCTTTTCACTGATTCGTACCGCTCGTTTTAATCCCCCCTGTCACGCGACTAGAGAGAAGCTGAGTTTATTTTTTTACTTGCTGTTCGCTGTGTTTAGGTGGCATGTCGCAAATGTCTATCTCAGAAAATGCGCTTGGCGTATGATGCCTCTCGTCTGCTGCGTGTCTGTGACCGGTGTCATCAGCTGCTCGTGCAAAGCGCCGGAGTAGATCAGCAAGATGTCCAATCAGCTAGCAACGATACCGATGAAAACAGCGATCAGTGCAACATTCGTTCACTGCCGGAATCGCCCGTAAGTAGCAACGATAGGTCAGCAGTGTCAAAATGACTCATAGTTAAAACGGGTAGTACAGTGCGTTCGAAATCCGAGGCAAAGAAAACACGGTCTGTGTGATCCGGTCCCGGATTCGATAAGTTTGTAGATCTTATATTGCGCGGTGAGTACCAGGTACATCGCAGTCAGTGGTGGCGGCTGTGCGTCACGCATCACCGCAGGGAAAGAAATTCATACTGGAGGTATTCCGTGTGATGTAATAGAGTGTTTGCCTGTTGGGGATACCTAGTGGTGAGGTGGGGCCTAGGTTTGAAACCGTTCGTAAATAGACACGTGTTTCGTGCTAGCGCTAGAAATGGTGAACCGCCGACTCTTTATTGCTGCCAAGCTGTGAAGTAAAAATGTCTATATAAGATGCCAACAAAATTGCACGCTCAAATTGGATCATCTTCCAGATGTAAGGAATAGACACTATTCTCTGACATGATATGGATGAACGAAAGCTCAACAGACGTGAGAATGGAAATATTTCATTTAACAGTATAAAGTTAAACGGTAGTTTCGGACAGAAAGGCCCGGAACATTCTATTACAGTGCAACGTACTTGTGCGTACGTTTTCCAATAATGAAATCAATTATCATTATCGATCGTAATTAGTAATAAACATTATAGGATACTGAATATGAAGTACAACAGTTTTCAGCGCGTGATATCATTATCAATCAGAGGCGCAATTTAAACTAACTAATGTTGATTTTAGATTTTACCGCATGCGGACAAGGCCGTTATGTGCGGTCCACTCCGGTTAAGGACAAATGGCCGATCAACTTGGTCGAAAAGATGGTTTGCGTTACAGCCCGATTTTGTTCTCTACTCATACAAAAATCAGGAGGTCAGTATTTGATTTTATAGCCTTTTTACATGAGTACTCTCTTCTAATATGGTTATTCCTCAAGCAAGTTGTCTTAGTGTTGTGTATGCACCGCAAGAGTTAATACATCGGTAGCTACAGATATAACATAATAGTAATTGGTAATAATATCATTTCGTTAATATTAGTTAACCCTGATGGTAATTTTTGTTGTAGTAATTTTCGAGATCTTCAAAAATGGCGTTATAGAAACAAAGTTTCACTGTTTTCCTGTACGTGCTTCCTTTTTATATTGTGAGGTATAGCACTTCAAAAATTGTTAAATCTCCAAAGATCGCGCGTTGATTTATCATTGAGTCTCCTATGTGCTTTACTTTAATACCAACCGGTTTGTTGCTTACACAATTTCATGTCATTTGAATTAATTATACATGAATATATTAATTATGTTAGATAGATCTATGCTTTTGGTAATGCCAATAATTGTGTTAACACTATTTCTTTTCTGCGAAATTTGTGGCATTCTGTCTTTCACTCTATTACTTCTTTCATAGGACAAATTGCCGCTAACATCGACGCCTGTTCCAGGCTTTCTAGTGTCCCTCCTAGAAAAAGGTGACGCAGTGGATCCGAAAACGCCACACGCGTTTAAATTGTTCCACGTCAAGAAGACCTATTACTTCCAAGCGGCCGATAGTGATGAGCAGCGGAAGTAAGTCATCTTCTTAAGGTTCAGTTATGAAATTATCGATTATGATTCTGTGAACTCCGTTAGAAAAATGGATTGATTTGACCTTTGGCCTAAAAAATTAAAGTTCTATGTTCTCTCAACCTGCGAATATCAATAATAATCATGTATTGCGTGGTCGATAATAAGAGAAAAAATTATGTTTCTCTATGTTAAGGTTAGGATATAATAATTGTTTATAATTTTGCAGGTGGACTAGTGCACTGGATCAGGCCTCACGCGCCGAAGACTTAGTCTAGTACCAAAGGAATCCTATCGGCAGCATAAGATGTATAATAAGGCGTATATTTGAAGTACGAAGCGTTCAGCCGTGGCGAAACGGATGGCAGCCATCGAGAGGCGTTTTTTCGCTCCGTATGCTTCTGCTATAGGCATCAGACACCCATTTTGTCCTCAACTAGACTACACACAATAACTGCTCCTCCGCTGGATTTACCCGCCAGCTCTGATTCAGTCAGCTCGATAAATAAAAAGCGAACAGTGGCCGCCTTCATCATGATGACTTTATGCAACAATGCTGAGAAGGCCCTACGATAGATATAACGACAGCTTAATTAGTAATATTTTTTGTTCAAAAAGGTTGTCGCCTATCCAATGATAAGGAGAAAAGTCAAAGTGCGTGAATATGTGGAACATCAATGAAAACCGGCAGGCTCGCCTGTATATTGATGCTAGAACGACAAGGGAGTCGCCAAGAAACGCTTGTTGTTTAACTTACATTAATCACACAAAAATGATCCGTCAGCGATCTACCCGCCAATTCCTATTGCGATGATTCATCAAATGTTGTTTATTTTTTTTTTGACAGATTTGCTAATACTTAATATATTGTCTCTTAATCTCAAACGGAGGGCTTTTTGTCGTTCGGTTAATTATTTCAGTCGAGAAAAATATGCCTTAGTGTCAATGCGTCTTTCTATGAATTCGTTATTTCGCCAAGCCTTCCAGAACCTAGTTCGGTTCGATTGTACTTAACTCAAACACTCCCATTTAATTTCGGCCATCAATAATTACAAACGTGGCTTGTACCACCACAACAAATACTTAGCTAGAATGACAGTTACTTTTACTTCAACAGCTCGTTTGTTTTTATCACCATTTTCTTACTAGAGTGCTATGAAAGTGATGGTTATAGCTCCTGTCGCGGATAAACAACTGATATAAAAAAAAAGCACAGAATCAAGCATTACAAACAAAGCATACCAGCCTTGTCCGTTTTAGCAGAACGATAATCAACTGCGTGATTTGAAGACTTTTGAGCGTTGAATTGGTAGAAAATCCTTGTTTTGGCTTTCAAGCAGCCCTTACATATATATATATATATATATATATATATATATATATATATATATATATATGTGGAAAAACGATTTCGTCCATTAAACACAATAGTTTTTGAACGGCGCCTTATTCGAACTGGAAGTGGACCGATAGCCGACGTTTTGGCGGCTGTTTTCAGCCGTGCGATAAAATACAGGCATGCGTATATAGCGACATCACTTTGCATGTGTAAAAATTAGAAAAATGATAGCGATGTTCAGAGTTGCTGTGGCCGATACGAAAAGCTATGAAAACTTTGTCAATGGCCTCGTTTGTTCGCAAAATATCTGTACTTATAACGCTATGCTACCACTATAATAAACCTCCCTACTGAGAAATTACAATAGTTCTTGTCGACAAATCTATTTTCTCGAATGTCTTTTTACTAGCACCCAGTAAAAAAAGACAGACTTTATGGTTGTCTCATATTAAGACGGTATCCTCAGTTAAAATCGGTTTATGCACTTCGAAGGCTGGCCGTCGGCGCAATGTTTCGTGGCAGGCAGAACCATCTTTAATGTTAGGGCATCGGTGGGGGCAGCTAGTTGTAGCATTCTTGGAGCTTATGATTAATTGCAGTCGTTGCAATTATATCATAAACGTAACTTTAGCTTCCTTATTCGTATCTCACAGTGAGCGATTCAAGAACGCACGACGCAAGAATATGACCAACACCTCACTGAATCACGCGCACTTAGATCAATTAATAGTAACTTGTTGGCCGGCGAGTTGCTAAGAGAGTTGTGACCTAATTTTTTTAAAAATTCAGTTTATTTGCACATGTCCTTTATTTCTGCAAGAAAGAGGGACGTCCCGCTCCCCCTACATGTGAATATGCAACATTTTGTTATCAAACTGCCCCCTCTTTACCTTTCATACCTATTCGTGTCTGTTTATATTACCTGTTTGGTAAGGATATCAAGCGTATTGTTATTGCTTGCATTATATAAAAGCATTCATTGCAGTATACTAGTGTTCTTAGCTGAGTATAGCGGCGTTTATGTCAAAAGCAAATTCTTTTATAGGAGCAACAAAAGAGCATCGTGATGCTGTGGGGGCAAATTTTTTTCTCCGTGGATCTTTTCAACGAATGCTTCGTCTGTCGACTTATCAGTCTGGTGCTATAGTACACATATGATTATAGTAATGAGTTGTCGAGTTGAGTTTATATAGATAAATAAGAGCAATGCTTAATAAAAGGAGAAGATGTTAAACACAATTGGAAAAGAATGATGTACATATACACACAGTTGAATAATGAAAAAAAAACATTATAGAAACATATAGATGTATATAGACAAAAGAAAAAAGATCGAAGGGAGAGCAGCGTAACCATTATCTAGTGTAGATACGTACAGATTTGAATGAACATACAAAAAATAAACTTAGAGTATGTGTACGGTATCCGTATCCATATTTGCATACATAACTGAGTGCAAAAAAGCTGGGTCTCCTGTTGCTTGAGTAATGTCATAGTAAAACGTACACAAGACATTTTTATTACAGCTTGGCCCAGTATAAGTAGGAGTACAATAAACTGTCATGACAAATCATACAAAAAACTGACAAAAAAAACCGTGACCGGCTTCACCTTCACGACCCATCATCACAGAGTAGAACTCAGACCGGATCTAAGATTTGGCATAACATAGCCTGGAATATATTTCGTTTATTCTAGAGAGACATACACGCCAAGTGAAGTATAGGCGTGCCAAGGGACACCAAATTATTAAAAGCGTAAAAAAAAAATGCTATGAAGCTTTTACCATTTAGATCCAGTGGAAGTACCTTCAGGTATCGTCGCAAACCATTTTCAGATTGAATTTCGTAAAAACTAAACTAATCATAAGAAAGAATGTCAGACGGAAAAACGGACAGATCTTACGTATATTTGCGCCTCTTAAGAAACGCGCAACACTCGTATTGAGTTGTTTTTTTTTTGTTATTTAGCAGAGCTGATGATCACCACTTTATGGATGATGTTAATGAAGTAAAAAATTTTACTAAAGCAACTATTATTATTATTCCTACTTACACTTAGTTAAAACTTGTTCTAGTCGTTACGATGCTAAAATGGGGAATACTTGTGAGAAAATGAAGCTGAACCGTGGAGGTGACCTATAAGTACATACTGATATGGAGAAGTTTATGCGGCCATAAAAATCAAGAAATATATACAGATTGAGCTTTTAGCTTCGGGTAGTCGTAGCAGTTGTAGTAGAAATGTCCCTTAAGACCCATATAAATTGAACCTATTAGCAGTGCCCGTGTGTATGCTGCGTTGCAGCCCATTATCCTACATAGGTGACATGTACTGCATGTGACTAGGTGATCGCAATATATACGCAGATCACAAAAGGAACTGTGAACTAAAATCAAAATATGGAATAGCAGCAACTTAGCGCAAAAACCTACCCGTGGACGCTACAGGAAAAGTAAGAACCTATTAGCTTGGGAGACCTACGAAATTTGTGAAATCCAGAGTATGTCCTGAGTTGTATCATAAAAAGGGAAATGCAAAAGGCGACAAATAGAGCCTCCTCATAACGTGAAGGCAGGTTATTTACCGTTTCGAAAAGATAATTGAAATGAACGTTTCCTTTAGAAGGTAGTCGGGCTTCTCATCGCCATCAATGATGATTCCCAGATAATATACGAAAAATAATATTCAAAACAACAAATAGATGTTAAATATCATAATTAGCGCAGGAAATAAAACTCCGTCTACAATCGTGATGACCTATAGTTGTTATAGTCTTGCAAAATCCTACTAGCATATACCTTTGTGTCATTACTTATAATGATAGATGATATTGATACTGTCTTGCATAAAATAGTTACGTGAGTGAGATATAAAAAGTCCAATACATACAATTTTGATACTTCGTAAAACCATCAATTAGGAAACAGCATAGTTATATTATAAAAATAAAGGTAAACGTAAATAACTTTTATGCCATCTTGTAAATAGGGAATCTTGTATTAGTTTAAACAAAAGTTCAATAACGCTAGAAAAGTATAAAATGGATTTAGAGAAATGATTCAATCTAGAACATGTTATATGCATATATAAATTCGGTGAACGTTAATTCACCCAAGGGTGTGCACGGCTAAAAGCCGACTGTAGTAGGAATACCCACATAGGTGTGTCTAATGGACAACTGGAACAAAAAGCAAAAAAAAAAACCTTATTCAAGATGAGTGACAAAAAGTAGTTCTGAAAAATGTTAAAAATTAGAAATTACGGTTTACAACTATTATTATTATTATTAAAGAACAATGAAATTATCATTATTCTGATAATTATTATGGAAAGAAACAAACGGGTCTAATCATTGTAGGTATACCTGTTGCTACATGCTAGGTGGATGTAGAAGGTTGTCATCTTCTGCAATTACGTTAGCTTCAAATCTGTGGTAGCCTTTCTAACTAGAGTAACTGTCGCTTTGGTATATAATGGCATCATGTATTGGGTTACTATATACGCTCACTGATTCAATACATGGGCTAAATAAACGTACAAAAGGATAAAAGTACAACGTTATTATATTTTTAAAAATGTTTTTTGTGAAGTGATTTTTAGCACAGTTCAAAAAACAGTGTTATAATTAGTAAGGCTATCAAAATTTATGAAATACTCATCTGTTTTGGGCTATATTTTTAAATATTGAGCTTATTAGGAATATATAACAATACACTGTTGTATGTTTAAATTGAGGATTTTTCTTACGCTTTATTTCTGAGAATGTATCCAAACAGAAATCATAAATCTGTCGTTCCTAATGACCATCTTTGTTTAACACAATCACTATTCACCAGAATTACAGCTGCAAGTCGGGACTTCTGCATTTCAAAATATCCCTTTCTTAATCCGCAAACAATCTTTTTAATAATAGCAATGCCTCCAGCAATACTGGTAGGTGAGAACTCGCTACGATACACTTGAACAAGTCTCGCTCAAATACTATACATATTAAAAATTCTAGAAAAATAAAATGCCGGGCTTGTAGCAGGCTATGTAAGGGCTTAAAACGATCAAAAAGATTTTCTGAAAGTGCAAAAAAAAAGACATGCAATCTAAAAATACTACTGTTGAAGCATATTTGAACAGTTCGACTGGTAAGTGATATTCTCTTCTCCAGAACGACCCTTAGTTTCTGCATGAGAGAAATCCGAATGTATCAAAAATGTAAGTCGTTTTCATATAAACTTTATTAAAACTCTTCCGGCCTATGTCACATATATCTTCCCCGGATCGTTCAGAAACCACATGAAAAATGGGAGAACAGTAACGCAGACGGTGCACTTTGGACAAAAAAACGTTTGTCATCTTGATGGGGATTCGTTCAACACGCAGCAATCGGGCCATAGCTGATTTTTGTTCAGACTCTAAAAATAGCGCATTGTTTTTGTTATGATAAGTGTACTATTTTATTCTAAGAAGAATAGGATTTCTTCCAGTAAGGTCCAAAGAAGGTGGATCAGCCTATGCCGTTTAGGACAACCAGTCTGCCTAAAGTTTGTTCCGATCAGGTGCCGTACCTGACAGATGGTGGTGTTTCAAAAAATGTATTTACCTTTTAGTGTTTTTCATTACGTTTTCTCTGTAGTGTGTAGTAAATTGTAGATAATGAGCGGGCTAAATGTTTACACAAAGGAAATTTATTTTAAAATTCTCTAGAATGTACTAAGTGTTTCAGGTTTAATAGCTGTTTGGCAAATTCATAGACGATGTTCTGGAAGACCACGAACATCAGCAAGTTTTATAAGCTTATAAAGAGTACAGGAAAATTATAGCCATATAATATGAAATTCTAGTGCAACCAAGTCGTCTATCTCATTTTAAGAGGTTGTGAATGGAAACTAATCAATCAAGATGGTCCGGACCGAAAAAAAAACGATGTTGCGGATGGTACTGGGAGAACTTTTACAAACTGCACAGTTTAGGTAAGATTACTTGGAGTGATAAAGTTACGTTCAAGTCAAATAGCACAAATAATTGATTTCCACGGGCATTTAAGTTAACTGTAAATAGCAATGTCACCCACGGATACGATGTGAATTTAGCAGAAGCTACAGTGTGGCATTTTAAGCAAATTGGACCTTTATTTTTTGACAGTATTATTTGAAGTTGCCGCAAAAATCGACGTACGCAAGAGGACCTTAATAATAAAGACGGTGAGTTTTATTCTCAACGGGATGGAGCACTTGCCCACTATCCTCGTGATGTAAAAGCAAATATTCATGAAAAAGATGGGTCGAACGTAGAGGCCTTATAGAATGCCCTGCCTGTTACCCATTCTTTTAATGTACCTTTTCTTAGGGAGTGACTTCGAACGTCAAAGTTGACAATAATGGAAGGTTTAAGCAAGAATGCGCTACAAGATAAAAAAAAATGTTTGCAAATCACCAATGGTGTATTGACTAGGACAATTATAGTTTTGAATAACTACGATAACTTCTTTTCTAATTCGAATAGGAATTATGTGTAAATAAAAATGTACAGTAATTAAAACTATATATATATATATATATACCTGTGAAGTGAATTTTCTCTAACTCTCAAGAAACTTTTGTCCCGAAATAGTTCAGACCAATCATTCAAAACATGGCCGTATCGTATCGACGTCCTTACGATTCGTACACAAACGAACGTTGGTTCGACATAATCACAGATTTACGTTATTATATTTAGCAATTAGTTGATGTTTAACGAGGATCGGCTGGTTTTTTGAACATGCGCTGGTTCGCGTAAGTGCCTTAGCCTTATTTCGAAAATAGAACAGTCAATAAGCGTTTTAATCAATCCATATTACAGACTGGAAAGGAAACACCGTACCTGACATCTTAGTCAACTTACCGATTGTTGATAGCTCGTCTATCTATGAACGTTGCGATCAGTCTCTCTGTATGCGGCCAATATGAGCCTGTAGAATTAGCTGCCCGCGAACACCTCTCGGGGCAGCCCTCCTTTGCTAATGGCACATGTAACCCCGTATCGATACCGCTAAGGACGGCAATAAAGACAAGATGATGCTTTTCAACTATATTGTACAATTGTATAGGATGATACCGCGTAAGTTTGGCTAACAGATATCAAACGGTGGTGATTGATACGCCGACGTTCGCGCATTATACGAGCTGCCGGAGCCCGTTAAAGCTGAATCAATATTCGTAATCGATATCGAAGCTGCTCTTGCTTGCTAGACGATACGATCGAATCGGCCTGTGCAAGCGTCTTCTTGAGAAAGGATATGAAACAGTTTTTGGCTAGTCATATCATTGTAAATCTAGCCGTTAACAAGTGCTTCATATGCCTCAATAGAGAATATTACATTTGCCTTGCGGAGCTCAGTTGATATGGTTTGCCACTGAAGCAATCACTTACCGATAGGAGCGAATATTAGTCAAGACTTTAGTTATCAACAGGTAGATTAATTTATTTTACTTAAATTTATTAGTTATAGGCCTTTTACGAAAAAAATATTAAACAATAAACTTCATTATCCATACAAATTCGGCAGTGTTAGCACCGCTGGCTGGACTTGAAGGCCATCAATTCTGTTGAAACCTAAATCTACGATAGTCAGACAGTTCATTAAACGAGATAGTAAGTTAATAAAACATCAAAGCGATTTATTTAATTGTATTGTTATAAGTATATATGAATGGGTTTCACTTGATTCTGTCTAACTCTGTCCTGAATAGATCATTTGTCTAACACCAAATTCGTCAGGACTTCTATTTGAATGATATCACAGTTTGACTCCGGAGAAAGCAAAGACCTTAAACTCTTTCCAAGTCTGTTACTGCCTTAACTAGCCAATAGGCTTTGAACGGCTACATATGCCTTTGAACCTATATGGTCTCATGTATTGGTCAAGTTTAGTAGGAGGCACACGTGTTATCATTGCACCGTCACCGGGATCCTGTTGAAAATTTACCTCGAATAACCTAGTTCAGTTTCGAGGTGAGCTGGACGGTCAGTTCGGTCAGACTGTGTGAAGAATAACCTAATGACAGAAAGTTCCCACAGCAAAACTTTAACACATGCTTGGCCGGAGGCGTAACGACAAACGTGGATTATGGCATTTTTTCTACTCAACTTTAGCTTGTGTTTCGCGGTAGTAAACGTTGTTGATTACCGATAGATTAATAAGAGATGTTAAGATAGATAAGTTAATAGTCATGAGGTATAGATATGTATTCTAAACCCTTTTTTAGCAGTCATTTTTAACAGAAACGTTACCAATGGACTATATCAATGAACAAAACATTGACTTTTCAACAAAATCATTGCCCAGTGGGTGTCAAAGCGTCTGCATAATGTATTAACTAAATTTACCTTGCTTCAGGCATTTTTCTTGTAGTATATGCTAAAGTATCTGTGAACTGTGTCTATGAACGTATTAGCTAACTCAAGCTGGTAAGAGAAAGGCAAGATTCTGCGATAGTAAGTCCGATTACTTACGCTCACCATAAAACAATCTATAAAATGCCTAGCTTTTGTGAGCTGACAATAGTAACGGGCTAGTTTCCACTATGCAACTAAAATCCGTAGATATTTGCCTTTTTTTTTAAATATTAAAAGCCTGCCAGTATTTAGGTTTGAAAGGGCGAAGGGGGGAATAAAGTGATCACTACTTTGGATGCATTGACACCCTCTTCTCTGCTCATAATGTTTGTTACTGTGACATGATACAATCTATTGTAGCTGAAGTCGTATATCAAACTTATCTAAGAGTTTATTGTTAACACAGCGAATCAGACGCCATTCCACTTAAAACGTGTTTTCGTTCGACGATACACTTTACTAACAAATCTCAATCAATAACACGTATTTGCTGATCGTCATTGGCAATTCGTATGTGTCCTGCAGAATTTTGTCCTAAAATCTCAAGCTTGAGACCGTATGCCTGCACCAACCTGAACCTTTAGCAAAATATATGGGTTTTGTTGCCTTAAATCTTTTCGTTATTGATTCCTAACTTTGGTATTGGCTTCTTTTTTAAGTATCTGATATGAAAGTCGTGAACTTGACGAAACAACGAGCATTAATTGCGCATATTGTATACTGAATAGTAACAAACGCGTCTACTTGTATAAAAATCTAAAAGTATGCTTTCCGATATTTCAAATTGCTTATTATATACATATGTCATTCAGCTATTATTCAAGTCTATGGCTTTGCTGCAGCCACTAACTAGATCAGAGCGAAACAGATTTAAGTTAAAAACCTGCTGACAAACACTTCCACACACGAAGTACGCTGAACATCTCTAAACAGTTAGGAAAAATGTAATTGGTTTAAAGTCAAAATATTCTCATACTATGTCGACAATACAACAGCCTTTGACCGTAGTCCTCGGCCTAAAAAATATCGAAAAGGTCTAGGTACAAAGTTAGGACGACTACATATAATTTCCTGCTTAGTTCTTTCTTAATTAACATGGCTCTACAAGTTAGTTGTAAAATATAGTAAGACAGTTCATAATGAGAATGCAAGGACAGATATAGAACGGTAATAACCATTGCTTTTCGGCCTCTCTTTACGTCAGCGTGCGTCGTAGGGGTCTAATCAATTATTCGCGCAGCGCTGGTTCAAGATGCCGAGAGTTTTCGTGGCGTCAGCTCAAACCTCTCGTCTCTCTAACTCGTTCACTGACCGTATTGACCGTATGACAGTGATAGCGTCTGGGCGGTCGGGTATATAAGCACGTCTCGCAGACGCAACGAACAGGTTGGAAGGTATGATTCGAAGAGTAGCTAACCGTCGACGATGAGGTTCTTTGTTCTTCCCCTAGTCCTAGCTGCGGGTATGTAACCAACCGAGATTGCTTATATTCTTAGTTTACTATCCCGTGAATGCTTCTGGATATCGCGTACTTGGAGGGGCACAGCGGCATTAGCTTCATGCTATTTAAATTTTTATTTATTTTTTTAATTTTAACTATAACTATTTTAAATGGGTGGAACGATCAAACAAGCCAAGAATATCTATAGGAATAGAGTAGTATGTGAATTAAAGAAGACACGTAATTGAATTTGCCCTATACGTAGCTGATTTTGTCAGATACGTTCCACGCTTTGTTATAGCAAATCAGAACAGATTTAGCTTCCGGTAGAATTCGCCAGCCGAAACAGTGAAATGGGTGGAGCTTCTTATACCCTTCTTTCAGTATGCTGTTGATACAATATCACTTACGGTACCTAAAATAATTAGGACGTTAAATATAATACTTATGCAAATGCTGCTACAACCAGTTTTTAACATGGACCTGTTTTTTACGGCCTTTCATCAGCCGTTAGTGCCGAAATGTTCCACTTTGTTGGTCAAAATGGCCAAGGCTCGACCTTGTACAACGTTCATGGCGCCGTCACTGTTGGAGCCAACCAGCTGACGGGCAAAAAGGCCGTCCTCGCATACAAGGGTGTCCTTGCTGTTTTACAAGTCGTTGAGGGCGAGTACATGGCCAGGTTCACTCAATTCACCATTAGCAAGTACGACAGGATTAGCTGGAACATTAAGGATGAGACTTTCGGTAACCTCGAACCTGAGGAGCAGCGTCTTGTCGAAACTCTTCGTGAAGACGATGACTATCAACGGGAAATGCAGAAACCTGTGAAGTTCTACATGAAAAATGGTCAAGTCGTCCGCATGGAGGCTGGCAAAGAGCACAGCCAATGGTCGCTTAATATCTTCCGTGGCATCTTCACCCTGTTCCAGAACCAAGTTCAAAGACCCTACGAAATGGCTATTCCCTACATTGACTATAAATACGAAGATGGTGTAGCCGGCAACTGCAAGGTCCAATACGAGGTTTTCTCTCAGCCCGAGTACGGTGTTGGTCAGGGTGTGTTGAATATAACCAAGACTACGAACTACAAGGACTGCTTAAGTCGTCCTGTTTACCTTCACCTTAAGGACACCCAGCGTGGCTGTGCTGGTGTATGCGACAACCACAATCCCGAGAACTTTCTCGGCCAGTACGAGGAGGAGCGCACCGATCACGAGATGAAGCCCACCCCTGGCTGCCCTGTTAATCAGCAGCGTAGCGATACCCTCGTCACTGTTCAAACTGTCACCAAGTACAACGTCTCCTGGGGCTATCTCGACGGGGCTCACTCCGAGCACACTGACATCTACCACCTGTTCGGTGACAGATTTCAGGTTTTCACCGCTCTCCATCTTCACCATAACGAAACTGAGGGACCCATGTTCGACGAGCCCCAGAACGTAGAGACTTACGATACTCTCCAGCAGCATTTGCCCCATGAGGACGAGCTTGCCATCCCTATTTACGCCCTAATGAAACAGCATGGTCAGCATCAGCAGTATCCCCGGTACTTCCAGAGACATTTCGAGACTGTTATCCATGAGCTTCGTCAGATCAAGGAGCACCAGAATCAGGGTCAAAACAAAAATTACGATGCTCCCGCTTACCTCGTAGAGCTTATTCAGGCTATATCTGGCATGACTGAGCACGAACTCAAGGAGACCGTTCCTGCTATTGTTCGTCAGAAACAGCCCAAGCAGCTTGACGAGGAAGAGTACCTCCGTCGCCAACTCTGGATTGAGCTTCTCGGCAAAGCAGGCTCCAAAACCGCCGTCAAGATTGCCGTTGAACTCATTAAGAACAACATTTTCACTCCCGCCGAAACTCGTCGCATTCTTCAGGACATCGCTGCTTTCCAGTCCTACCCCGACACTGACATGATCGAGCGGGTCCTTGACCTCTGTCTCCAAAGTACAAGCCAGGCATACGGACAGAGTCTTACCTCCATTGGCAAGGCTACCGCCTGCGTTGCGGCTGGCAAGATCATTTCCAAGGGCTGCAACTCCAAGATTTACCAACTGGCCCAAAAGCACCAACAAGAGAAGAAGCTCATCAATAGCAGTCGTCAAACCATCCATAGTAGTGAACATGGTTACGAGGTCGAGCCCGAAGCCTCCGAGTATCGTCTGACCATGGGTCACTTACCCATTCAACCTCAGTACCTCTGTACATCCGAGAAGCTCCAGCAGTACGTTAAACGTCTTAGCCAGGCTCTCTCACAGGCTACTGAATTTAGAACCATCATTGCCTATATCAACGGTCTCGCCAAGATTGAGAAGCCCGAGGCCCTGCCTAAGCTTATCAGCTACGTTGAAGGCACCGCCCAGAACCTCAAGTTCGTCAAGCAAGAAGGTGAAGATGAAGACGAGGCCACTGAGTTTGTGCGTCGCGTCGCCATACTCTCTCTTCGCAACATTGCTTTTAAATATCCCAAAGAGGTTAATCCCATTGTTCGCGTAATCTATCAGAACACGACCGAGAAAGTGCAAACCCGTATTGTTGCCTTCGACGTCTGGATGAACACCCAACCCGCCCAGTGGGAAGTTGAAAAGGTTATGCAGGTCGCTAATAAAGATTCCTCTCGTGAGCTTACCCATTATGTATATACTGCCCTCAAAACCGCCATGAGCGCCCAGGAGCCGTGCTACAAGCTTCTGTAAGTATTGGTAACTTTTACATCAGTTAGGCGTATCAAATAAAATAGTTTATACAAAGAAAGTGTTCATGGCGTCACTATGAAGAGATTTTTGCAATGTCTTGTATGTATTGTAACTCATGGATCGCTGAGCGTGTAGTAAGAAACCTGACATTTAGGATATTTTCTAAGCTGTAATCTTTACAAATCAATTATTCAATGAATTTTCACTTTAATGATTTTTGAGCAGGGCTGAGCGCATCCGCGCCGTTTGGACCCAAATTCGTCCTTTCGATTTTGGTATGAAATTCTCCCAGCTTCGTTCCATGGGCTACTACAGCTGTAAGTATGGATGAGTACTATTGATTTTCCTTATCATTCAAACAATGCTTGCAGCTATTCTATATGCATTACGCCTTCAAAGTGGATTGCACATAATTTTTCCATGATTTATTGTTTTCAATTTCCATATGGTGCAGACGTTGAGAACTACGGTATCCGCGGTATCTGGAAGATGATCGCTTCTAACACGACTATGACTCCTGGTTACACCGAGGCCAAATTTGAGCAGGTTCGTGGCCCTTTCATAAAGTCTGTCTTCGGAGGTAAGGTTCTTATTAAAGGTGGCAACAGTATCTGGGAACAAGTCGTCGGTAAGAACGATCTTCTTGAGCATGTTGCTTGTGTCCTTAGTGGTCACACCCAACAATGTCAGCAGGATGCCCGTCGCCTGTTTAAGGATATTGCTCAAGGTATGGGAGTCAACAAGTACAACGATGAAACCCCTAAGGCTGTCCTCTACTGGAACGTTTTCGCTGGTGAGGCTATAATCCCAATCGATGGGGACTACCTACAGGAGCTTAACGATGAGCTTCGCGGAACTATCTCCAGTCTCGGACGAAACGGTCTTTCTGGTCATTATTTGCGTGTGTTTTTGCCTACCAAGGCCTTCCACGTCGAGCCTACTAACCTTGGTTTTCCCATTGTCCACTCCACCATTCACCCCGTCGTCTTTTCTGTACGCTACGAAAACCTTAAGCTTCAATATAATAAACTTGCTCCCTACAAGTTCGAGTTCACTGGAACTGTCCAGCCCACCATCCTTTCCTTCCGTCAAACCCGTGTCTTCGCTGCTGAGAGGCAGGGTCACCGCGTTCCCACCATGAAGGTTACTGACATCAAGGAGTTCAACCCTCGTTTCAGCTTCCAGCTTGGCTACATCCAATCCGAGCACCGCTTCTATGGCCATATCAAGCCCATCTTCGACCGTGTCTTCCATTCTGGCCACTGCACCGAACTCAAGCTTGAGGCTAATAATATCATCGATGCTGAACCTTATGCCTGCGTTGTTGATTACGGCAACTGCATCAAGACCTTGTACGATCCTATTCATCGCAACCAGCAGATAGGTGGACAGTGGTTGGGAATGGTCCTCCGCCTTGCCGGTGAGTCTCACCAGTCCTGGTCAGGTCCTGGCACCTTCAGTTCTCAGGAAGCCCGTCAGGAGGGTCTTTTTGCCGCTGCGTTGAACCATTTTGCTAACAACGGCATGAAGCACCACGCTATGTCTCTCTACCTTGAGCCCGACAAGCGACAGCCAATCAACGAGTGGTCTGCCGTAATTGATCTAGACTCTAACCTTGAACGTCTTGCCAAGGTTGCCATCTCTGAGCAGGCGCAAAAAATCCAGAAGGTCAAGGCTGAGTACAAGTCTCGCCAGCAGCCCATCAACGTTGAGCTCCAGGAGGTCATCCGCAAAGTTGATAACCTCCTCGAGAACACCAATGAGGAGATCGATGAGACCACTATCGAAAGTCAGATACTCGTCAAGATCCAGGGTAGCCACCAGGGTCAGCCCAAGTGTACTATCAATGTTGCCATGAAGAAGGTCCACAACTTTGAAAGTACAAAGCAGGTGTACGCTCTCGCCGTAGAGCACAAAGAGTCAAACAACAATATCGAGCTCTTCGCCAACGTCTCCTACCCCAAGATCGGCTCTCCTTTCCACTACGACCCCACTTATTTCTCTGAAGATCAGCGCATGAACGGCACTTTCATCGCCAAGTTCCAGGGCCAGCAGGAGCAGACCTACCGTGTTTCTTTCCAGGCTGTCAAGTCCGAGGAGCAAAAGAAGGGATCCAATTATGAGTGGTTCGAGGTCCGGTGCCTCGCTGAGCAGAAGGCCGGCAAGACTATGACTGATACTTGCAAGAAGGCTATCCTTAAGGCCAATTCTCTCGACGCCATGAGCATGACTATCCATCTTCCCCGTAACGTCGACCCCAAGGCTAAGTCTCTCGCCTATCAGACCCTAGATTTCGTCAAGTACCAGCTCTACCCGAAGATGCAGTCTAAGCTTGTCAGCCACAAGGAGCGTCAGCAACAACTTCAGAAATATCAAAACGGGAAACAGGAGATCTACATCTCCGCTAACGCTACCCGTGATTCTGCCTCGTCCCTTCTCTACAACGTCCACCTCGAGATGCCCTTCGAGGACGTGATGTTCTCTAAGATCCGCCTCCCAGGTCTCCGTCCCATCCATATGCAACTTTCCAGTAGGCAGCAGCTTGAACACGTTGCCTACCGCGGGCAGAATGAGAACGTTTGCGTCCTTGGCGACAAGTACGTCCGCACATACGACAATGTGACCTTGAGTCTCGACGTCATGCAGGGCTGTGAGTACGTTTTGACCCGTCACCAGTCTGAGAACGACCCCGTCTTTACCGTTACCTTCGAGGTCGTCAAGCCTAACAGCTTTGCCAAAAAGATCCGGGTCCAGTTATACGACCAGGTCATTGAATTTATTCCCTTCGTTACCACTGATCGTTATTTCCAAGTCATCATCAACGGTAATCAGCACCAGCTCACTTTCAATAAGCCGATCGCCTTCGTTTACGGCAATGGCCAGCGCGTCTACCTCAACGCCTACGAGACCCCTAACCCCCACGACGCTCCCGTTGTAGACCTCTACACCGAATCCGAAGAATTCGGGGTCCACTTTGATGGTCACGCCGCCAAGGTGTACATCAACGGCAAGTACAAGGGTTCCACATACGGTGTGTGCGGCAACAATGATAACGAGCAAAAACACGAGTTCATCGGTCCCAACAGTCACGAATACGAGCGTTCCAACGAGTTTATCGCCGCCTACGGCATCGGTCAGCGGTGCAAGGTCCCCGCTCAAAACAGCCACGAGAAGCAGATGGAGATTCTTAATCAGGAGATCGAGCAGATCCGCCGCCAAGAGCAGGTCAAGACGCAGCTGCTCAGCAAACAGATGCAGGACAGCTACACCCAGCAAAATGAGCGAAGCCAACAGCTCGGCCAGCAGCAGAACGAGTTCAACCGATTCTGGATGGAGCAACAGAACGAGCAGTTCTGGGGAAAACAGCATGGACAGGAGGAGGAGTGGGACTCCGAAAAGGAGCAAGAGCAACGTCAAATCCTGAAGACCGTTGTGTCTATCGAGAACGATCACGTCTGTTTCTCTTCCAGGCCGATCGCCACTTGCAAGCTCGGCTACCACCATGAGGGTGTGCTCCGCATTGAACGCGTTGAATCTATCTGCCTCGAGAAGAATCACGGGGCTGCCATAGAGGCTATAAAACAGATTCGTGCCAAACGCACCATCGACGTTACCAGCCTCGCCCAATACCAAAAGGGACGTCTCTTTACCATGCACAACGTGCCTAAGTGCAAACGATACGAATAAATGATGTGGTAACAATTATGAATAAATATGACAGCTCGTTCGCTCATGCGCGGAAAATGTCATTTGTTTATACTGTCTGTATGTAAATAGTTAGGTTAGCCAGAAAAAAGCAAAGTTATATTGATAGCAGGTATAATACCAGGTAACTGAAGATGTTTGAGTGGGATGCGAAATCCTAAACGTCATTGGCCCACCCAGCCGTATAAACGCTCTTAAGCAGTTCCATACTTGAACACTTAAAAACAATAGAAAGCTTCCTTTATTTTATTATACCTACCTTGTGCTATGAATTAATATAGTTTGTCACAAGTCATCCATGAAACCTACAAATAGACCAGCGCAGAAAATGCGCCAGAATCGAGCTTTCGATAACTAAACCATGTATAAGAGATAAGCTTCTTTTAAAGCCGACTAAATAACGCTTCAACATCTTACGTACACTACATAAGAGTGATATTCATAGCAGATCTAATGTGAGCACATACGGTTGGTCATATCACATGATTTATTTGTAGCCTACACACATGGCCATAACTTTTTTGTTTATTTCAATATGCTACATCCTACATCAAACAAGAATACATTCTAGGTACTTACGATTTCGTTTTCCTTAAACAATAATCAAATTCATGTAGAAGGTAGTGTCCTGCCATTAATTCATAAGACCTTCGTACGAAACATACTTGGTTTTGACTTCATGTGTGGCATTGGAACATACTGCTTCGACAGCCGACAAATTTGGCTGGAAGATGTGATATAATAAACAAGAATGTCTCGAGTAATAACGTCACAGCTGGCTGCCAATCTGAGGGTCAGCCGTTTATAATCAAGGTAATTGAGGCAGAACTCCAAAACTATCCTATGTGTAATCATCATCAAAATAGATTGATTTATTCCATTGATCTGCTGCATCGCTTCAAATATTGCTTGAGTTAGGCGATTTTTATTTTGATAAACACTTATTTTAACAGATAGAAATATTAAGATCCATCACTGAATCGCCCAACGACATGCCATAAATGATACTAAAAGTGATATGATCAATTACTGTTCCTCTTATTCTTGTAGCATCGATACCCTAAAAAAAAGAGGAGGTCTATATTCTATAACAAACACGATGCTTCAGATTTACGCAACAAAAGCTCGGAGTGGTTCCATTAGCTTATTCCTTCGATTTGACAAATAGTCTTCCTGCCCTGGACTTGTTTGAGTAGGTTGTCGAGTATAGACCTATATGCAACAATTCTCACTGGTTTATTGTCATCATTCAGCCAACTCGTCTACAGTAGAAAGATTCTATTGTGGCGAGACACGTAGCATTCAGCCTGTGTTGGACTTTACATTACAATGGTGTATTGTACACTACGATCAGTTGGCACTGTGAAGAGTGTTGGTTTCCAACACTGTTTTCAGGTCATGGGATCATGTTCTGTTAACGGTGACCTTACAAGAAATCCGACATGACGACCCATTGAAGCTTCTCGATGTCGCTTGTATAGTCTTAGCCAGTCAACTTTCCCATTTTTTTCTCATTTCGCCGTACTTCTTTTTCTTTGACCTTCTTGAACGGAGAGGATTTGCGACTGCGAAGCTCCTGTCGATGTGCCCACGCGTTAGCAGATTTCTGAACAAGAACCGAAGTTCGAAACGTGCGTAGGCTTGAGTGTTAATCGACTGTCAACACATGCTACATACTTAATTTCCATCATAAAGAAACGAATCATTTTATGCTAAAGTTCTTCATGACGTGGGTATCATTTCATCAAGAGTTATTCAATTTTCTGCCAAATAATAGAACGCCGGTACTTAGACTTGACTTGATTATTAATCCTGTTTTTCCTGCCCAACTATAAACTGTTCATATATCGCCACCCTTGTTTCAAAGTCTTCTCAAGTTGGCCAGTCAAAAACTTCGCGTTTAAATAAATTGACGGCTAAACAGATAAGACTCGCTATTTTCACGATGTGACCATCAAGTAGCCCATAAAAATGCTTCTAGTCAACCAAAGAAAATTAACAGAGATTATTTAGGAACTATATAACAATTATGAGTCGTTAAGCTATATGCTAATTACTATTCAGAGTGTTTAAAAAATGTGTACAATGTTTAACAAGTCATAACGTTCTGATTACGCATTTGCAAGGTGTAATTCATTGGAAGTAATAAGTGGGCCATGGTTAGCTTTTGAAGGCTCAAATTTTATATAACAAAGCTATTGAAAATATAAAACATAGCAGAGGTGCAAGGTTGACATATCAGGCAAATTCGTTTAGAGAACTTACAACTAATAGGGATAAGTTTCAAACGACTAGATCTTTTTTAAATAAACATTTTTTAAACACATAAACAATTTTTCAAACTACCAAGAACATCTGTAAGTTACACAAGTCAAGAAGAGGTACCAAAAAGGTATAGCAAAATATCTTGAGCATCTGTAGCACTACCAGATCAAGAACTTAACATCAGGAAATAATGTGCCCATCGAATTTTGACACATCTTGAATTGAAAGGTTACAGTTAAACAATGGTAAGAAATATTTGTTCCGGACCCAAGAAAACAATTTTGTGAATAATACTCTGAAAAATGTAAACAAGATATTTACAGCTTTCTGGAAAAACTCGTAGCGATGATGCTACAGCCAAATTCTCAATGGCGTTAACATAATTGTGTCATTTACCTGAGAAATGTTTTTGTCCCTGAGATAGTTATGAAAAGTTGTTGAATTTAGGTGGACAACGCGTAAAATGTTACGGGGGAAAAGCTTTGCTACAAAATTCTTTCTGCATTCTAATTTACTAGCTCCACTCTGATGCTTATTAGCATGTGAGGCAGTTTTTGTAAGGACGCTTACGAACTGACGCAGACATCAGACTTGAAGATTTACTAATAAAGTACATAGGATTTGAAACATCATATCCAGTGAACTAACATAGAAACTTTTTCTGTTTACACAAATTATCAAAGAATTACCAAAGTTGTAACTTTCTATCCGAACATTGTAACTAGTGAAGCCACCACATGCAATTATAAAACTAGTTATTAATGACCTCATAAGGCAATATCGGTTGCACTTTATAAATTTACTGGACAGACTTGCGTATCTATAATTGAGTGAAACTTCTTCTGAACGAGCGACTTATTTTATAAAGTTTATTATATTTATATATATATATATATTATTGGTTTTTATTATATTGGTAAGTATAATATATATATTATACTTACCAATATAATAAAAACCAATAATAATACATTATCATAAAAAAATATTGAAACGGTCTAATATGTAGATGTTGGCTACTACCTTTATTCGATCTCAGTATTGACTGAAGATTATGTTTATATTTAATCATAATACAATATGATAAAGTCTAGTAATATTAAAGCTCGATTTAGCTTATACACTAGGATTCCACGATGTTACAGATACATAATTATAGTAATAAAGGTTGGCATTGTTATTGTTTATGATGTTTATAAAATACTAGCGTAAATTATACCACTGTCAATTCGGTGCTGTACTAGCAATCATATTAGACACTGAGGATAAGTACTTCTAGTACTTGCAATAAACTCGCTTCTTATTCAGGTTGAAAACTCATGGGTTATTCAAAAGCAACAACGTAAAAACGTACGTGCGCCAAACCACTGAGAAGAACCAATAAAACTTGAGTAAATCCGGAAATTGTGTTGCATCACTAGTTCAAGTATTATTAATTTTGCCGTTATCACTTACATACGCATCCTACATTCCGAACTCCACTACGCTTTTTATATGTCCATGCACGTTGCCATGACGTTTAATGTAATAGCTTTAAATTGTCGATTTACGTAGACGTGACATTCATGGCTTGCCAATTTCGTTAGTCATATTGGAATTCAATTGTTCGCGCCGTTTCGTCTGCTACAAAATGTCAATAAACAGTTGAAGGCGCCCGCCTTCTTAACCACTACATGCCCTCACTGGTGCGCATTAAACTGTTCTGAGAGGAATATCAATTTTTTCTTAATTAGAAATACGTTACGTAGTTGACGCAGTGCTCAACAATCTCTGATTCACTGATTTGATGATAAAAAAATAGCACTACATGCTATTTTTTAAGACTTGATGCATTCTCAAATAACAACAAGGACGAACTCCCCCCTGGCAATAAAGGAGTCTGAACAGTTCACATGTGTTCTGCTTACAGCCAGTAAACGAACTCTTCTGAAAGCAACGTACTGTTAATAAAGGTAAAGATATATGGTGTGTAAAAATTATGCTTCGCCTACAATGTTTTACCCCGGTTTCAAAACGCAAAAATGTAATAGGCCTATTCTTTATTATTTTTCTGAGAGTTATCTTCTATGAAAATAAACATCTCCAAAAAGACATATACATTAGTAGTAGCAATAATAAAACACTTAATTAGTATTAATAGCATTCGATTAGCATTCATTTTCTATATCTCTGTATAACATATTTCTTACTGAAATGCCTCTCAATAATTACATGCTTTAAAGAAACAACTCCCTTCTACCAGGTCCAAAATTATTATCATTTTATATTGTCGATCAAACTAATAATTAGTAATAAATTTATAGACAGAAGCTCTTTGTTGAAAAAGTATCTCATACAAATTATTACATATGTATTAAACTTATTACTTCTAGACGTCTCAATTACTGTACCTATCTATTTGGAATTTGACGTTTCAATCTGTGAGTATAGAATACTTACGCAAGTTGAGGTGAATGTAGTTGGCGTGCGTCTTTGCACAGGTTGTTTTATATGTCTAAACTTGTTAAGGTTATTAGCCGTGAAAGCAAATTATTTAAGCAAAGAATTTCACATAGCTTATGTGAGGATCGTCCTTTGTGACGTTTGAAATATAGCCATTTTCTTTTTTAACAATTAAGTGCAGATCATTATGACATACTGAGGGTTGCCAGTTTTATCTTCGCCATTTGTCCTTAATAAAAGTTGATTATTATTTTTATCACCTTACGCACAATTGGTACGTTAGTGTTCTATACTACCCAGGCAAAGATAGTGCTGGTCGTTTGCTGAAAGCGGTGACCTAAGAGTTCGCAATATTTAGTGATGAAAGGGTAGCTGGACAGCAATTATCCATCGGGTTTCAAAGCTTTCGAATCAACAGTTTCCTTTTTCGGTACTACTTTAGGGTAACATAGCTTGAGGCAGGTAGCCCCGACACTTAACGAAGTATATCCACACCCTGTTTTAAACCTAGACCATCTAATTTGCCCTTAAGGTCAGTAGACAATCACTTTATCACGCCACACTCACGGGATCACACATCTAACGGTAGCAATATTCGTTTTGTTCGACAGCTCACTTCCTCACACGTACAATGAATGATCTTGTAGATGAACCCGCCAAGCTTGAGCAGTTGGTTGCCGAAGAAGAGAAGAAAATTCTGGAGCTACTTTTTGATCAACGGGTGGACGACACAAGTGCAAACAAAGTCTGTAAATCACCACCTCAACAGCTAAACGAGGCAAGATCCGCTCAACTAGACAAACTAGTTTCAGCTGAGAATGAAGGTATTACGACCAGCAGCGACAGCGCTGTTGACACGGATGTACAAAACATCGATTCCGATCATACAATTGCTACTACTGAATTACCTATCGCTTACATTCCTCCTGTATTCGACTCGGTTCCTTCGCTAATCTATGACGAAAAATTTTCGACATTTACCAAAGGCGTGAAATTTGCACCTGACGGACAGACATTCGCAGTATGCACTGATGATAACCGAATCCATCTGCGTCGCACAGCTGGATTACTCGATGGTACAAATATGCCTGGCAAAATCGTCGTCGAGATCGTAGCCAGCGTTCGTGAGGCACAACCCATCCATGACTTCGCGTGGCACCCTAGCCACGAGTTTTGTGCGTTCGTCACAACCTGCAATACTCAGCCAATTCATTTGTACTGTGGCCAAACAGTGAAGCTCCTGTCTAGTTATGTGGCGAGGAATCATCTCGATGAGCATATCTCTGCTTATTGCTTGAAGTTCAGCCGGACAGGAGAGCAAATTCTGGCTGGCTTCAAGAAATTTGTCCGTATATTTGATGTCGAGTGTCCTGGCGTCTGGTATGAAATCGCTACCTGGAAACAGTATCAAGCAGGAATCGTATCAGCGCTGGACACCAATGGCGAGAAATTGCTGGCCGTCGGCACATACTGTAATACGGTTGCGTTGTACGATCTTCGTGACAAGACTATGGCTTACAGGCCTGAAGAAGGTCATAAAGGAGGTGTCACACAGATCCGCTTTTCGTATGATGGCAATTTATGCTATTCTGGTGCGCGTAAAGACAACTTTATTCTGTGTCGCGATTTGCGAAATTTCAGTAAAGTGATCCACGAGTTTCCCCGACAATGCACTACGAATCAGCGTATTCACTTTGACCTGCCCTACGAAGAAAACTATCTAGCTACTGGGAATACGGACGGAACGGCCTTCATTTGGAATCGAAATGAACTGCAGACATTTGGCGAAAATGGAACAAAGTGTCGACCAAATCTGATCTTCACGCCGCATGCTAATGTCCGCCTGACAAAGAGCAGTGCCACTAATGGCCTCAGCTTTCATCCCTGGGCGCCAGTTATCGCGACCAGCTCTGGTGGTCGAGGGACAAGCGTCTGGGATGACAAGAGCGAGCAAGTCATTTGGGAGAGTCCGTACGAGAATCGCGTGAAACTTTGGAAATTTGTACAGTAGCAAAAACTCCGACTGAGACATTTCAGCTATATGTGTACCTATTGCAACAGGTACATATTGTAAGGTCTTAAAAAGTCGGTCATCGGTAGGGACAAAACACTTGTAAGAGACAATCGCTATTTGTACGAACCATGTGAATATTTCAAATACGTAAATACGTATTGTTGTGGCGTATGCGTTCTCACATACGCTCACATGTTGGGTCGTGGCTAAAGACGATATTCGGCTGGTTCTATATAATGTTTTTAGAAGGTGACCTTGCATATTTTTTCTTCCGTATAATATGTTATTGCGTTGCTCGCCACTTCCATGTAGTAATACGCTCTTGAAGCTACGCTCAGATGTTTGCGACTAAATCTAGAGTTAGTTAATTGGTTCAATTTTCATATATTACAAAACAAAAAAACGGAAAGGATTTTTGGGGACGGGGTTTCAGTGACCACTGCCCAGTGGCAGATAACATCGAAGGAGCAAGTTTACGGTAACACCTGGGTTAACCGTCATTTATGAAATGGCTTTGATTATACTTAGCTAATCACTTTTATTAGGGGAGGGGGGATTTGAAGCTATATATATATAAGGAAAGTAAGGTATGTCCCGTCTTTCATATATATATATAATATTTAATTTAAGAAGGACGAAAAAAATAGTGAACCAAGTACCTCAATCTGTTTTATCTAACCTTGGTTTTTTTGGGAGTAGAAACAGTAAAAAAAGAAAGTTGAGCTTATCGCGCTTACTGATAATTGTATAGATGTATATAATATAAGAAAAAACGTGTATCAGCGATACGACTAGTACCGATTAGTTATCCTGTTTGAAGTTAGCTAAGTATGTTTTTGGTTACCATAGTGCGGGTACTCTTTCAAGATTTTTCCAAATAACGTTTTTAAACTTGAATTGATCATCATGTTTAGTTAAGATATGTACGCATTTTTAAATTAGATTATTTATCACATTAACATACGTGGCACAGAATTGTCCAACACGTGATTTGTCTGCTACGACAACCTTTATTATATTCTTATTCGGATCGACTCCACTGGCATTTTTTTCCATTTGCAAGTTGATTATTGGGGACAATCTAGAGTTTTTTTTTCAAAATTATTTTCAGGACACAGGAAGGTTTTCTTTTCAGAAAAAATCGAGTTAACTGGTTCTCGGAGTGCTACTATTAGACGTAGGAAGTCGGCTCTGACATTTAATTTGTATATAGTTACGTACGTGAACTGAATATATGTGATGTTTTATAAATTATGAAGCTGTTTTGCTTGTTTTCAAAATATACTAGGTTCCTGAGACAATCCTGCATTTGCCTGTTTGACGGCCGCGATACCATCTATATAGATGAAAGTTCTTGAAGTGACACATAATGTTCTTCAAACGCCTGCGGTAAAATTGTGGCCAAAGCGCTAAAACATGCCAAATGAAGAGGTGAAACAAAAATTTAAATAAATGAAGTGAAGAAGTTTGGCGCTATATATAAAACGTGACTTTTTATATGGATATTGTGAAGTTTTTAGCTAATGTGTTTAATTTATAGTTGTCACATAAAATCTGAAACGCTTTCAAATAGTTATAATATTATTACGTCACATAAAGTGCTTCAAGATTCGTTTCTAGGTCACTGCGACTGCAACAGATCGATCGCTATTTCTCTATTCTGCATTTTACCGGGTGGCAGACAGACTGGCTATTCTGTCTCTGTCTTCAAGACAAAAAAACAACCTGAAAAGAACCTCGTGATATTTTGGGAAACGAATCTATGTCAACTTTATCATTGAATCGACAAGTAAATTGAGAGTAGAAAGTAGTAGGTATTTTTCTACGCCAGGTCTTTTCTTACTACATCTGACACCAGATACGAAGCTGTTTTGTGATTTCTTTCTCGAAAAAAGACTCATCTTAGGAGTCTAACGGCATCACATCTTTATTTACGTTCAGTACTGTTGGTGTTGAGTCGTAATGCCCGTAATTATTATACAGTCATCAATATCATATCAAGCATTAAATAAAATTCGGGAAAATTTAAACGAACGCACAAAAAGATGCGAATAGTCAAGAAATTTGGGACGCGCCAGAGCTTTTTAATTGGTGAATAAAAATCTAACAAAAATGCTAGCGTGTAAGTCTTAATACTCAACGCATTCAGCGCTTGCAGCTAACTTCTCAATTATTGGAAGTCAGTTATAGCGAGCGACGTAGAACTTACCAACACTAATAATAATGTTCATTCTTATTGTATGTGCCATAAGTGTAAGAGTAACGATTTAATACCTCTAAGACGCACCTTCAAATAAGAGAAAATAGGCGAAATAGTGCGCATTCGGTTTACATCGATCGAACACATTCATCTTACTTTGCCTGCCTTCCGCGTAGGTGAGCCATCTTTTATTTGTATTTGAGCTCTCCTGTTATACAGCAGTGACATGTGGTATACTAATATCACCTCAGCATGCACGCCTGCAGGAGATAGAGCGATTCACTCTTCTTTATTATATGTAATATAAATAATAGTAATAATCGCCATCATCAGAGACACTAGGCTACAATGAATATTTTCTATGCGTTTTATCTAAACTACTGGCTATTTCGAACATCTGCGCTTATATGCGAGTCTAAATATTAGCGTGTAGATATACCCTGTTTGATCCAGTGAATTGTCATAAATTATAAGTATGCATGTTATATATTCATTTAAGAATAGCCTCAATGGGCCATAAAGAGATAGAAATGTTCATCTTTTACTACTAAACGCATCGTGAAAGAGAGACTTTTAAAATGACGTAATGTAGATTGATGATATGTGATAGAAGGTAATGGAACATAATAGCGATATTTTCAATCGATAAATTTCAATACAAGCTCTCACACAAACGGGATGGAAAAGGATTATGGTACGAAATGTGGTGCAAATAATGATCAATTCAATAACTAATGCGCAACTCGTGATGATTTCACTGATAAGGTTATTTTATATTGGCGTTTTAAATTTACCCTCATTAATCTGTTTGTTTTGTGACAGCTGACCATCAGCCATAGCTCTCTAAGAGTGCTTTCAATATATACTCTGAAGGACTTCATCTA